CTTCCCTCCCCCCCCGCCCGCCCCTATAGTTTTGCCTTTTGCAGAATGTCAGTAGAGCTTATCTGACTTTGATCCCAGGTCTGGTGATAACAGCTCTTTTAGCATCCTGTAGCCCTTATCACAATTATAATTATACTGTATATGCAGTTGATTGATAAATTGTTCATAGCCTATCTCTACTGCTGGACTTCTGCAGGCAGAGATTGGCTGGTTAATAATTACTGTATCCTCAGCAATACCATCAAGTAGAGGTTCAGCACACATTGTTTAATGAGTGAATGAATGAGGGACTCAATGATTATAAGGAAAGTGCTCTAAGACACTACTGATGCAGCAAAAGCAATGCAATATTCAGTGGTATCAAATCTATCATATTGTAAAGCACCAGAGACTATATTATTTAAACATTTTTGAAGAGTATGCATAGACTTTTTAGTTACACTGGGTCTGAATATTAGCAATCAGGACCATCCTAGGCAACCCCAGGTGCATGATCAGTACCTTCAATTAATTAAAAATAAAATGAAAAAAATTTCAATAATTTAATACTGTCTTTTGCCATTAATTTGTCTAACTATATATTTAAAGCTGTTTATTGCATTTTTTTTTTTTTTTTTTGCGGTATGTGGGCCTCTCACTGTTGTGGCCTCTCCCGTTGCGGAGCACAGGCTCTGGACACGCAGGCTCAGCGGCCATGGCTCACGGGCCCAGCCGCTCCACGGCATGTGGGATCCTCCCGGACCGGGGCACGAACTCGTGTCCCCTGCATCAGCAGGTGGACTCCCAACCACTGCGCCACCAGGGAAGCCCTGTTGCATAATTTTTACACTCCATATATTTTGTAGCAAATCTGACATTACCGTGATGCTTAACAGTAAGATCATGAAATCCTCAAAATCCAGCTTATTTTCTGTATGGTCGTCGAGTTCAGAGAGGAGGTCTCTGTATCTTGGTTTGGTTTCTTGTCCCTGTAAGAATAAAGAAGAAAAAGCAAAAAAACCGAGTTCATCATGCCACTTCGGTTTTACAGATAATACGCAATAGTAAACATGTTATTAACAACATGTCAAGTTGCTACCAGTGCTACTAGTTGAGCACTGTATTAGATATTTTCATGGGTTACCTCACTAAGTGCTCACAGTGACCTTACTGAATATGAACTATTATTTTCCCACCCTACAGAGGCAATGCCAGAGACTCAGTGAGAATGGAGTGATTTGCCTCAAGCTAGGCAGCTATGAGTGCGGAACCAGGATTCAGCGCATTGGCTACCCGATTCTGGAGCCCACACTCAACTGCTACCCTACTTCTCTACAGATACAGGTACTGTTATGGTTTAGAGTACAGTCCCTTTGTTACTGGAGGTACCCACTATGTGCTGCACTGAGCATAAGATTATCCAGAAATATGGAATAAAATATGCTGAAAGAAAATATGTGCCTTTGAAGATTGTTCAGCCCTAAGTTTGATCATGAGTCAAACCCAAGTTCATAGTCATCAGCAACAGAGTGAAGGAAAACATGTGAAAACACCTAAATGGAGGGGATTTTCAGTTCTAGCCACAGCTCGTGAAATATCTTCCCAAGTGCATCAAAAACGTTAAGGTCATTTGATTCACTGCATTTAGTTTAACCCCAAACACTCATCCATGTGCTGGCTGCAAAAAAAACCCATCACAGCAATGACTAAGGCACTTTAGGAGTGATGATACATTCCTCTTACAGTCTTAGACCTTTCATGTTCCTCTAGGCTGTTCCTGAAGATGTCACACCTACCAGTGAGGGTGAAAGGACCTGTGTCTGTCTCCCTCCAGGAAGAGCTGGAGATAAGACAGAGAGAGATAGCCCTTTACTAGCGTAAAGCACTCTGTTTGCTCAAAGGTCAGAGATGGCTGGAGGTCTTCCTCCTCTTTTTGCTGCATATTTTAAGACCACGGAGCTGGCGGAGGTCCAGACTTCTTGGGGCCTGACCCACCATCTTGCTTTTTATCTTCTTAGCAGTGCTTTTAGGTGCTCGGTTTTACTATCTCTGACTGGCTATAGAGGGCTAAGTCAGATACCCCAAATTATGTTTAGCCTTATGAGAAAGGACATATTCCTTTCAGACCCAGGCCTCAGCCAGAAGGTCTGGCTCAGTTTACCAGAGAACCCTGTGTGAGGATTTAGGAGAAAGCCCAGTTAGCGATGGAGACTCTTATGCTGTACCTGCCTGAGGGACAGGGTGGTTGGTCCAAGACAGCATTCTTTTTTAACTAACTAATTTATTTATTTATTTATTTTTGTTGTGCCGGCTCTTAGTTGTGGCAGGAGGGCTTGTTAGTTGTGGCATGCGGACTTAGTTGTAGCACGCATGCGGGATCTAGTTCCCCGATCAGGGATGGAACCCGGGCCCCCTGCATTGGGATCATGGAGTCTTACCCACTGGACCACCAGTCCCCCAAGACAGCATTCTGACATGACGCTACATGTCTGCTCAGTGGAGGGAAGTTATCACCACTGAGACTGAGGATGCCAGGGATGAGCAGTCCCCTCAAGTCCCCTGAAATGTCTCTGCTCTCATCTGGAGCAGAGGGCGGGATTGCACCGTGGTCTGGCTGAGTCGGCTGCTAGAGATCCCAGAAAGGCTGCCTTTCCCGGGTTTAGCCTCCACTGAGGGACACGAGGCTGAAGGTGTCTTTCCTGGTGACTTCGGTTTTAATTCTTTTCCTCTGATGTTCTCAGAGGGATGGCGAATCACATCAGGATGATCTGTCCACTAGGTCCTCATTTTCATACTTGTTAAAAGCTCACTGAGGTTTTGCCAGCTACACGCAGCATTCTTTTTCTCTCTAGGATCTGTCATTTCTTTCGGCCTCTGATGTAAGCCGGTGATATAGGATTTGTTCTCCCACCCTCTCTGTAAAGACTCCTCAGAACTTTGGATCTCTTGTCTAATTCTGCCTGATGTTTCTGGCTGAAAAAATAGCTTTTCTTAAAAAAATTATTTCAAAAATGATATGTGTTTAATATTGGACATTTAGAAAAAATAGGAGCGTGTAAAAATAACCCTTTACCCCATTACCCAAAGATAGCTTACTATTATTAACATTTCTTTCCAGTTATTTTTCTGTGTCTCACACTGTAGTACTCTCTCTCTCTCTCTCTCTCTCTCTCTCTTTCACACTCACAGACACACACACACATGCACACACTCCTTTTTAAAAAATTTTATTTTAATTAATTAATTTTTTAACATCTTTATTGGAGTATGATTGCTTTACAATCGTGTGTTAGTTTCTGTTTTATAACAAAGTGAATCAGTTATACATATACATATATCCCCATATCTCCTCCCTCTTGTGTCTCCCTCCCTATCTCACCCCTCTAGGTGGTCACAAAGCACGGAGCTGATCTCCCTGTGCTATGCGGCTGCTTCCCACTAGCTATCTATTTTACATTGGGTAGTATATATAAGTCCATGCCACTCTCTCACTTCGTTGCAGCTTACCCTTCCCCCACCCATGTCCTCAAGCCCATTCTCTATGTCTGCATCTTTATTCCTCTCCTGCCTCTATGTTCTTCAGAACCTTTTTTTTTTTTTTAGATTCCATACATATATGTGTTAGCATACGGTATTTGTTTTTCTCTTTCTGACTTACTTCACTCTGTATGACAGACTCTAGGTCCATCCACCTCACTACAAATAACTCAATTTCGTTTCTTTTTATGGCTGAGTAATATTCCATTATATATATGTGCCACATCTTCTTTATCCATTCATCTGTCTATGGACACTTAGGTTGCTTCCATGTCCTGGCTATTTAAATAATGCTGCAATGAACACTGTGGTACATGACTCTTGTTGAATTATGGTTTTCTCAGGGTATACGCCCAGTAGAGGGATTGCTGGGTCATATGGTAGTTCTATTTTTAGATTTTTGAGGAACCACCATACTGTTCTCTATAGTGGCAGTATCAATTTACATTCCCACCAACAGTGCAAGAGGGTTCCCTTTTCTCCACACCCTCTCCAGCATTTATTGTTTGTAGATTTTTTGATGATGGCCATTCTGACTGGTGTGAGGTGATACCTCATTGTAGTGGGTTTTTTTTTTTGCAGTACGCGGGCCTCTTACTGTCGTGGCCTCTCCCGCTGTGGAGCACAGGCTCCGGACGCGCAGGCTCAGCGGCCATGGCTCACAGGCCCAGCCACTCTGCAGCATGTGGGATCCTCCCGGACCGGGGCACGAACCTGCGTCCCCTGCACTGGCAGGCAGACTTTCAACCACGGCACCACCAGGGAAGCCCCCTCATTGTAGTTTTGATTTGCATTTCTCTAGTGATTAGTGATGTTGAGCATCCTATCATGTGTTTGTTGGCCATCTGTATATCTTCTTTGGAGAAATGTCTATTTAGGTCTTCTGCCCATTTTTGGATTGGGTTGTTTGTTTTTTTGATAGTGAGCTGCGTGAGCTGCTTATCAATTTTGGAGATTAATCCTTTGTCAGTTGCTACATTTGCAAATATTTTCTCCCATTCTGAGGGTTGTCTTTTCGTCTTATTTATGGTTTCCTTTGCTGTGCAAAAGCTTTTAAGTTTCATTAGGTCCCATTTGTTTATTTTTGGTTTTATTTCCATTTCTCTAGGAGGTGGGTCAAAAAAGATCTTGCTGCACACACTCCTTTTTAACTTTATTACGGAATAATTGACAAATATAATTGTATATATTTAAAGTGTACAGTGTGATGGTTTAATACACATGCGTTGTGGAATGATTACCAAGATCAAGATAATTAACACATCCATCACCTCACAGAGTTATCTCATGTGTGTGTGCACGTGTGTGTGGGGAGAATGCTCAAGATCTACCTCAGGGACCTTCAAGCATGCAGTACCATGTCACTAACTATAGTCACCATGCTGTGCATTAGAGCCTCAGAACTTATTCTTGTTGAAGTTGGAAATTTGCACCCTCTGACCTACACCACGTCACTTTCCCCTCCCCCTAGCTCCTGGCAACCACCAATCTATTTACTGTTTCTGTGAAACAGGCTATAAAAAAAATACTTACTTGTGGAATTAAAAAAAAAAGCCCATTTCACACACACTCTTTTAAAACAATCATAGATTCACGGGAAGTTGTACCCTTGACCCAGCTTCCCCCAGTGGGTGGCACCTTATATAACTGTGGTATGCTAAAACCATATATATTTATATCTTAAAGGAAGTATAATACTTCTCTTTTAAATGTCTCAGAATATACATAGAACCTGAGAGACTGTTTACTTTTAAGTTTTTTCTTGCTCAATCTACCATTAAATGTTGGTGGTTTAGGTTCTGTGTGAGGCCCTCCTTTTTTCTTATGCATTTTCCCTAGGCTACTATTTTCCAAAGTTTGAACATGTACTGCTGGTAGAATGTAACACAGTTTTAGGTGATGCAAGAGTAAATATTAAATAAGAATGAACAGTCATCTATATTTTTTTACTACCTTCCACTTTTACCCACTGAATTTACATTTAAAATGGTGAGCAAGGCTCCTTATAAAATAATTTCATTTAAGTAGAGTGTTCTCTTAACAAGTTCTAAGTACATTATAATACAGACTATAGGCAGATATGGGAAAAATATTGAAGATGGTATTCAGGTGGCTGAGGTTTGAGAAAGATGCCTCTAGGTGATTTAGGTCACTCCCTCCTGTTCAGTAACCATCTTCACATTGCCCACTCTCACTGTTATAGATCTCTTTTCTGACCTTCCCGCTCACATATCCTGTTGCTGTCCGAGTTTCTCCACTTGACAGTTTCAAGGACATCTTAAACTTGACACGTGCTAACAGAACTCATCACCTGCCCCCACCTTCCACCCCACCTCAAATCTGCTTATTCTCCAGCCTTCCTCTTCTCTGGAAACGGGACCACCACCCACTTCCTCCCACGGCCAGGTATCATTATTTGTCCCCCTTGCTCTTCAGCCTTCATGGTTATCAGATCCCGCTCATTCCACCTTCCAGATGCCTCCCATATTTGCCACCTCAGCCCAAACCAACATCTTTTGTTTGGACTCCTTCCCCACGGTTCCCCTTATCTTCGTTTCACTCCCCATCCCAACCATAGTCTCATCTCCTACTGCAGCTGGTGTAATTTCTTCGACCCGGATTTAGAAACTTCCCTGGCTTCCTCCTGCCCTCACGCTATGGCTCGGTAAGAAGTGGCTTCTCTTCACCTCCCCGGCCTCCTCTTCCACTGCTTCCTACTTCCCTCTCTCTTCTCACCAATACTTACTGGCCCTCATAGGTCTTTGACATGCTTTATGCCAAATCCTCTGCCAGGAATCACATCATTCTCATCCCGCATGCACTCCGCCCCCAGTCCCTGCTCACTCTTGATCTTGTTCTTCATATCTTAGCTATACCTTAATTTCCCAGGAGCTCTTTTTTGACCACCAAGCCCAAGACGGTCCCTCTGTTTTATTCTCTCACTGCATGTTCTACTCTTTCACGGTCCTCTGACTATTTCTAATTACTTTTTCAGCACATCTCTCTACTCTGCTGGATTGTTAGCTTGTTCACTGCATTAACCCCAGTGCACAGCTCATTTCCTGGCATAGGGAAGGTGTCCAATAAACATTTGTGGAATGAAGCAACATAATGGTGCCTTTGAGCTGGAGTTGTTGACTCTTCGGGCCAGCCGTTATGGCGTGGCCCCCTGTTTCTTGGTACCTATTAGTTCTCTTACCTCTGTGAAATTCCTAAATTGGGTTTGCAGTAGATTTTTGGCAGTAGCTTTCCCAAGTTTACCATCAGGGTCAGAAAAGTTTCTGAAAATCATAGCGGCAGTGGCGATGGCTTTTTCCAGATCTGAACCCTTGGGTAGAGCTGTGAAAGAAGAAATGTACAACTGTGTAGCCTAGGTTAGAAATGACCCTTCCCCAGACATGAGGCTCTACCTTCCATGGGAACTTAGGGAACAGGGCTGGAAGGTTTGTGTCAATGTGATCCTGGCCTTGGGCTCTTTGCCACCTATCTGGGAGTGGGACATGGGTGTGTCTGATCCTTGATCTTTAAACCATGGAGAACAAAAGTCCCTCAGTAGCAATTAGAATTAGTAGAATTAGGATGAGATTTATCACCCTCTTCCCCTGTGACCTTGGGAAAACACCTGACCTCTCTAAGCCTTGGTCTTCCGATGTGCAGTTTCATTCAGTTATTCAACAAATATTTATAGAGCATCTACCGTGTGCTTGGCTCAGTCCCTGGCATTAAGGATACCTCATTGAATAAGACAAAGTCCTGCTCTTGTGGAGTTTATATTCTGTATCAGATAGAGCATCACCAGATGCCAGCGTGATAAAGGAGAATGATATCCAGGACAAGTCCTTTGATATCATGATTGACAAGGGATCTCTTTGAATCAAGGCCTCAATCACAGTGATCTAGCTGGTTTCTCTGATTTAAATTCCTTGAAAGGATGGTACTAGCTCAGTCCCTTCCAGTGGGTAGCACATAGTGAACTCTGAGAAGTGCATGAAGGACAGTGAAGAAAATTCTTATCCTCTCTGTTCTCTCAGTTCCCAATACATCCCCTATTATAGAACTTTTCCTGCTTTACAGTTATTGCATGTTTAATCATCTTTATCTCTAACTAGAATACAAGCTCCATGAGGCCAGAGATCATAGCTTTTTTTATCACTATATTCCCAGTGACCAGCACAAATGCCTGCTATGTAGTAGGTGCCAGTAAATGCTGTTGAATGAATGAATAGGAAGAAGAGAAAACAAAATCCAACAGCTTTCTGCCCAGGTAAAATGCAACAATCATGGATTCAAAGAAAGATGATCAGTCAGATATTTGTGACTTGTATCGAGCACTTACTGTGTTTCTGGTACTTTCTGAGCTGTTCAGCACATAGAAGTGACACAACCAGATGTGGCCTCTGCCCTCATCTATATTACAATCTAGTGTATAATAATAATCAATAATACATATATTGGTTTTATACATATTTGACAATTATTTGTTTAGCCATATACACATATATTATGCATATTTGCAACTTGTATGAGGCAAAGAAGGTATAGAAATAGAAGAAATAGAAAATTACAGAGTGGGTCTCGGAGGAAAAGTACTGAGATAGGTTGTCTTGGAGGCATCTACTATATAATTAGATTAATATTTAAGCTAAGACCAATACGGTGGGAAGGACCTGCCATCTAAAGGGTGGGGTGGGTCAGTCTGGGATTAGGGTTGTTTTGAGTGTTCCAGGCTCAGGTAACAGCATATGTGAAGGCTCAGATCAGGAGCCTGGCACATTGGAGGAGCTGAAAGGAGACAGTTGTGGCTGGAGTCTAGAGGCTGAAAGGGTGTTTCATTAGAAAGGTTGGCAGGGGCTAGCCCATCCAGGGCACCTAGGTTCTGGAAAGGAATCAGGATTTTCCATCAGATGTACAGAGAGGGCATTAAAAGATTTTAAGCATTTAGTTGTTTTTTTTTTTAATTAAAGTTCAATACACAACATGGTTAATCAACTATACCCCAATATAAAATAAAAATTTTAAAAAAAGTTAGATGGAATGACAAGAGTTAAGAGGAATGGCTGAAGGGAAAACAACTGTGGACCTTCTCAGTTTTTACTGTATCTCTGAACAGGACTCCGACTAAATGGTAAATGGTGTATATAAACATCTGCCAAACATCTGCATTCTAATCAATGTGTTTGCCTCTCTCTCTCTTGCATGAGGAAATGTGTGTCCTCTCCATCCCCCCGTGTCATTTCACCCACAATTAGGCCGAAGCTTGAGGCATTCGGACTTCCTGGTCCCGCAAATGGATAACTCTTTTTTGCCCCTCACTCAAGAGTACCCACTTATTTGCTCCAAGCTAGAGCAAGTCAAGGACATGTGTGTAAGCAGCAATCTGGTTGGGATAGGAAGTTGGAGCTGCCATTTATTGTGCACCTTTTGTGTGCCAGATACTTTAATAAATTGTATATTTACTTCTCATAACCACCATAGGGATTATTATACCATTTAAATTTTTATTGTGTTTTTAACCTTTTTATTTTGATATGATTATAAATTTACAGGAAATTGCCAATAAATATGCAAAAACAATCTCCCGCCCCTGTTCCCCCAAGAAACATCTTGCATAATCACAGTAAAACAACCAAAGCAAGAAACTGACATTGATACAATCCACAGTTTGTTCAGATTTTACCAGTTACATATGCCCTCATCCTGTGTGTGTGTGTGTGTGTGTGTGTGTGTGTGTGTGTGTGTGTGTGTAGTTCTAGGCAATATTACCAAATGTGTACCTTTGTGTAACTATCACCACAATCAATATACAGAACTGTACCACCAACACAAGATTCTCTCATAGTAACCCTTTATAGTAACAGCCAAACTTTCTACCTGCCCCCTCCCCCATCCCTAACCCCTGGCAATCACTAATCTGTTCTCCATCTTCATATGTTATAAAACAACAAATGTCCTGTGAATGCAATCATACAGAAGTTCTCTGAGAATGGCTTTTTAAACTCAGCATCATTCCCTTGAGTTTTTTTTTTCTGTTTTTATTTTTTTATTGGGGTATAGTTGCTTTACAATGTTGTGATTCCCTTGCGGTTTTTGGCTTCAGTAGTTTGGCCACACAGGCTCAGTAGTTGTGGCACACAGGCTTTGTTGCTCCATGGCACGCGGGATCTTCCTGGACCAGGGCTCGAACCCATGTCCTCTGCATTGGCGGGCGGATTCTTAACCATTTCGCCGCCAGGGAAGCCCCTGCCTTGCATTTTATCCAAGTTGTTGCATGTACTGATGGTATTTTCCTTTTCACTGAGTAGTATTCCATGATATGTATGTACCACATTCACCACCAAAGGACGTTTGAGATGTTTACAGTTTTGACTATTTTAGTCCCCTTCCCACATAAAGTTTAGAATAAGTTTGTCTGTTTTTTTTTTTTTTTTAAACAACTGGAATGTTGTTATATTTCATTAAACTTGGAGAGCAACATGGGGAGAACTGATATCTACTATGTTGACTCTTCCAACCCATGAACACAGTATGTCTCTCCATGATTATACCATTGTATAGATGAAGAAAGGATAGGATCTTGCTGAGGACACATTAATAAGTGGCAGAGCTTGAATTTGAATCCATGTTGAAAACATAAGCCTTAAGAAGATAGGAATGTTTTGCCTGTCTTCTCTTCTGTGGAAACTTCAGTACTTAGAACAGTGCCTAGGATCTAGGAGGTGCTTCACAAATCTGTCGAATCAATGTCTGCAGAATCTGTGCCCTTAGCTTCTTACTCCTTGATTTCCTCTTTGGTTTCTGATCCTCAGTCCCATCCTGACCTGTGGCTTCTGTCTGCTCGTCCAGTGGCTGGCTCTCCATCTAGACTACTATCCCAGACTCAGAAAGTTCCCTGCTTCTTTGCATTCAATTTTTAGCTCTTTTCCCTCCTATCCTTATCCACCTCTTCCCTTCACTTCTGCCACATCCTGAAACCCACATTTAAAATTGGGATTTTTTGGCTTCCCTGGTGGCGCAGTGGTTGGAAATCCACCTGCCAGTGCAGGAGACACGGGTTCGAGCCCTGGTCGGGGAAAATCCCACATGCTGTGGAGCAACTGAGCCCGTGTGCCACAACTACTGAGCCCGCAAGCCACAACTACTGAAGCCCGCACGCCTAGAGCCCGTGCTCCGCAACAGGAGAGGCCACTGCAGTGAGAAGCCCGTGCACCGCAACGAAGAGTAGCCCCCACTCACCACAACTAGAGAAAGCCCACGTGCAGCAACGAAAACCCAACGCAGCCAAAAATAAATAAATTAAATAAATAAATTTAAAAAGTAAAATTGGGATTTTTTCCTCAATTACCCAAGATTTTCCTGCTCATCAAAAACAAGGAGATGGCCTATTTCTTTTAGCTCATGTCTCCCTTCCCTGGGAGGTGGGGTTGAGGTGGTGAGGAGCTGTATGGTGGTAGCTTGGCATTTAAGTGGCTAAAGAATAAACTCTGTTTATAAATAGTCTTGTTTTTAAGAAGCAGAGTGCTTAGAAGAAACACCTTAATTCCTTCGGAGGTAAATATCCATTCTGTAACTTTTACCAGTTGATTTATTTATTCGTAACCCAGAATAACTAGACAGGGCTTTAGTATGGGTTGTTTTGCTGGGTCTGAGACTTCTCATGGGGGACAGTAACCTCTTCCTCCCCTGGCTGTGCCCTGCTGCAAAGGAACCGGTGAGCTTCCAAGCTGTGAGTGAGCTTGCAAGTAATGATAGACACCTTTCTTTCTTTCTTTTTTTTTTTTTTTGCGGTACGCGCACCTCTCACTGTTGTGGCCTCTCCCGTTGCGGAGCACAGGCTCTGGACGCGCAGGCTCAGCGGCCATGGCTCACGGGCCGGCTCCCGGGCCCAGCCGCTTCGCGGCATGTGGGATCTTCCCGGACCGGGGCACGAACCCGTGTCCCCTGCATCGGCAGGCGGGCTCTCAACCACTGCGCCACCAGGGAAGCCCTAGACACCTTTCTTGCTTACTATGTGCCAGATGCCTTTCAAACATAAGCTTATTTAATGCTTCATAAACCCAGAAGGGTAGGTACTATTTGTGTCTCTATTTTACGTATTGGAAACTGACACATGGAGAGATTAAGAATCTTAAGGTCACATTGCTCCCGGGTGGCAGAGGAAAGATTCGAAAGCCCGTCTGCCTTCCAAGGCCACAGAAAGATCTGCCACTTTGGAATAACTCCTTCTAAGGGCATCTCCATGGAGGCTGCGGAACCAGACGTTTCCCAGTCCTCTGATGCTCTCTAAATGGGGACTCCATCTGCGCTAGCCCACTTCTCTTCCTTCTCCTCCAAGCATTTTAACACAGCATGCGTTTTCCCTGACTATAAAATAACATATGCTCGTGGCCAAAACCGAACTAGAAAAAAATTTAAAATAAAAGATAAAAACGAACTCCGCTTATCCTACCAATACTGATGAGACTTTGTGAGGCGTTTTTTGGTTTCCTCTTTTTATGGTTGGGTTCTTCCCTTAATAAACTCAGTGTGTTGCCTCCTAATTCCTGCCCTGTCTGCCTCACAGAGTTGTGGGCGAATATGTGAAAGCATATTGTAAAGAGCGAAGTGCCATTAAAAATGCAAAGGATTGATGTTTCTTTTTGGGTGTCTTTTATTGCCTCTCTTGCCTTTGGAATGGGGGTGGGGGGTGTTAATCCAGGCACTTCATGTCTACATTTCCTGCTAGCTCCTACCTCACTTTTTATGCTTTAATAATACTAAACTGTCAGCAGTTCCTTACACACTCTGTCCTCCCAGCAAGTACTTATTGCCGGGCCTTGTCCTAGTTCTGGGGACAGAGCAATATTAAGAGAACAACTCCTTGGTTCCTGGAGCTTTGCACTGTGATGGACGATTAGGGAGCCCACGCTCTGCATGCCAGCCACTTCTTTATGGGATGTATACGATTTGACTCATTTAATTCTTACGTCAGTCCTCCGAGGTGGGTTCCAGTATCATCTCCACTTTATAGATGAGGAAACTGAAGCATAGAGAGGTTAAGTAGCTTGCTTAAGGTCACACAGTCAGTCTGGTTCCTCACTGTGATGCATGCTACCTCTAGATCTTGTTTTTCAGGCAGTGTATCCTGCAGGATTCTTTCCCAAACCCTGGGATAGGGCTACCTGCCCCTCCTTTGTGCTTTTCTACTTCCCTAAACATAAGCTTGTCTTAACCTTCAGACTGAAACACTGTTTATCTGTCTCGATTACCTTCTTAGATCAGTGCTGTCCAAAAGAAATGTAATATGAGCCCGAATTATAATGAAATTTTTTCTAAGTAGCCACATTAAAAAAGTAAAATGATGCAGATAAAATTATTTTAGAAATATATTATTTAACCCAATTTATCAAAATATCATTTCAGCATGTGATCAACGTGAACAAATTACTCAGCTATGTTACACTTTTTCCTACTAAGTCTCTTAAATCTGTCATATATTTTACACTTACAGCACAACTGGATTCAGACTAACCACATTTTAAGTGTTCCATATCCACAGGTGGCTAGTGGCTACCATATTGAACAGTGCAGCTCTAGACTGTGTTCCCTGAGGGCAGTCACTGCATCTTATTTATCACTGCATTCATTCCCAGGCCCTGGCGTGTTGTATGCCTTAGCATAGACATGTGCTGAACTGAGCTGACTTGAACTTGAGAACAATCCCTGCCTCTTTCTCCTCACTTGCCCTGGAAAGTGGAACCTAAAATGTGCAACATTTCATCTAGTGAGTTCTTAAACACTTTAGTGTAGTAGAAACACAAACCTCAGTATAGCAAAGTGTCAGAATCACCTCATTTTAGAACTTTTCTTAATATTAGTTAGTTTTTCAAACAAAGAAATGAAGACCTACAGGAGAAATGTGGTTTTTCCCAGTATGCATCAGTCGTACATGGCAGAACTAAAAATTAGATCTCTTCTGTTTTCTTGCTAGATCGATAGTTTCCCCAATACTCTAGCACTTTTCAAACTTTTCCATTATAAACTACTTTGGATGCTACAGGCAAATATGTACTCAACACCCATTTCTATCCACCTCCCCCAAGAGATCAAGGGCATAAGCCCAAACAGCCAGAAGTGAAAATGTGGGTTGGTACTGACTTCTATTCTATGATCTAGCCCTGCTTGATTTCAGTGAATAACACTTAAAATTACCATTGAATAAAATACATTCTGGCAAGATGAGCCATATTTATCCTGTGTTTTCTTAAGGCATGGGAATAAATGTTGCCCAGTTGTCTACTGTAAGGAGTCTGGTGCCAGGAATGATGTCTGTGTGTGTGTGTGTGTGTGTGTGTGTGTGTGTGTGTCTGTGTATTGGCGGGCAGTGTGGATGATAAAGAGTTACACTCCCCCCTCAGCCTCTCAGAGGAGGCTGTTATATGAGAAATGTCATGGATATTTATCATGTCATGGACATGATATTTTGTCATTGACATTATCAAAAGTGCCTGAAATTGTGAAACAGAAATCATAGGTCTCTTGTGCTGTGATGCTGTAACAATAATATTCTCACCAAGATGAAGATTTATTTCAATAGAAATATAAAGCATCTCCTCTGGAGACACAGACCAGCCATCTAGGAGGAAAAATAACTGCAATATAATAGAATCCAGCTGTGCTTGTTACTCTATAAAGAAGCCACATGTTTTGGAATAAGACAATGATCTCAGTATGTGAGTTTATTTTTTCTTATATTGTTATTTCCATGACAGCATTGTTGGCTCTAAAAATATTTTACCTATAAAATGGAATGTTGACGGCAAATGTTTACACCTTGGGAGTTTGCCACACTATGTTTTGATGAATCAACAGAGGCAGTTGGGGACTGATTGCATCCTGAATACCACTGAAGGTTTATGAGTCAGATGCTGACTTGGACACACTGAGGGTACTGCCCATGGAGGGCCAACTGGCCATGGTGGGATGAACACTGCATTAGGAGTCAGGGATCCATGCTCCTACTATAGCTGGGCCTTTAAATTTGGGTGAGCTAATTCCTATCACTGGACCTCAATTCCCAAATGTTTAAAAAGAACATCAGGGACTTCCCTGATGGCGCAGTGGTTAAGAATCCGCCTGCCAATGCAAGGGACATGGGTTCGAGCCCTGGTCTGGGAAGATCCCACATGCCGTGGAGCAACAAACCCTGTGTGCCACAAGTAGTGAGCCTGCTCTCTACAGCTCGCAAGCCACAACTACTGAAGCCCGCATGCCTAGAGCCCATGCTCCACAACAAAGAGAAGCCACCGCAATGAGAAGCCTGCACACCACAAGGAAGAGTAGCCCCCGCTCGCCACAACGAGAGAAAGCCCGCGCGCAGCAACAAAGACCCAATGCAGCCAAAAATAAATAAATTTATAAAAAAATAAAAACAAGAATAAAAAGAACATAATAAATGCTTGATGATTTATCTACAAGTTCTCTTACATTGTTGGCATTCTTTGGTGTCCTATTATTTTTAACTCTTGGCATGCTCTCCTGGTAGAGAAGAAACACATATATCTCTGTCACACCAGGCCTTACCTTTTATTGAAGCCAGTTGTTTGGATATTGAAATGCTGCCAACAAAATGATAGAAACATAATGATTCTGGGAGTTTGGGTATTGATATCAGCATCTAAAGTAGAGCAATATAATGATTTAAAAATTAATTTATTTTCAGTAAATCCGCCCTGAGCGTTCTGGTGGAGCTGCCATCTGTCTTTCAAAATCCTTTCTCCCCTTGTCACATGGTAAAAAAGTACAATACTTGGCAATGGCTGGCCCACATATCCTAGCCTTTTGTGTAGCCTTTTGTGACCATGTGACCAAATGCCCTCCAATGGAATAGGAGCAGAAGAGAAGTGGTCGCCTTCTATGCAGCCTCCTCCAGTGCCCTGTCCTGTTTCCAGCCAATTAACACAGAAATTATCAGGAGTACTTTGGAGCCACGAGCCACATAAGCCTGTGTCCCTACATGGTGGCATGGAGTAGAACTGCCACCCACCTGGAACCCTGACTCTGAACTGTCACATGAAAAAGAAAGAAATAACTTCTTGTTCTGTAAAAGACTGAGGATTTGAAGTGTTATTTGTTCCAGCAGCTTAGCCTACCTGAGAATCTACGTACTGCGCTAGGGCGTGGGGACGCATCAGTGAATGACTGAGCTGTTCCCACACTCTTGGGGCTTAGAGTCTAGTGCAGAGGGCAGATGTTCAACCCGTGATTCAATACGGAGCGATGGCAGAGCGCATACAGAGGGCCGGGGAGGACTAACCCAGTCTACAGGTCAAGGTAATGGTATTTTATGTCAACCAAATGAATCATTAGGTGAAGAAGGAGGAGGAGTGTTCCAAGCAGAGGGAACAGTGCGTGCTGAGCCCCGGAAGCGGGAGAAAGCACGGCAAGATTGAGGAACCAGAGGAAGAACAGCGTGCCTGGAACATGGAGAGGGAAGGAGATAGTGGTGGAAGAGGCTGCAGTCAAGGGTCAGGACCAGAGCACTTGGAGTGAGCCTTAGGATGGACCCAGGTTGTGAGCCTAAGGGTAGTGGGAAGGAAAGGGCTGGCATGATCAGATTTGCATTTGGGGAAGTTATTCCACCTGATATATGGGAAGGAGAGTGGAAAGGGACCAGATGGGAGGCAGGGAGATGGACCTTGCTGCTCCTTTATAAAAAGCAGACAAGGGCTTCGGCGCAGTGGTTGAGAGTCCGCCTGCCGATGCAGGGGACGCGGGTTCGTGCCCCGGTCCGGGAGGATCCCACGTGCCGCGGAGCGGCTGGGCCCGTGAGCCGTGGCCGCTGAGCCCGCGCGTCCGGAGCCCGTGCTCCGCAACGGGAGAGGCCACAGCAGTGAGAGGCCCGCGTACCGCAAAAAAAAGAAAGCAAACAACATTTGCTTGACACGTCAACACCCAGTGGCTGGAGTGGTTTGGAGAAAGCCAGTAAGAACAGTAGAACTTGGCCATATATTTGACAGCTCTTTAAAGGGAACTTTTGGGTTCGAGATCTGGTTTGGCACTAACTAGTCAAGACATCGTGACCTTTGGGGACCTCAGTTTTCTTACTTGTAAAGTTAGGAAGATGGACTCTATGATATCTTGGACTTTTTACGGTCTTCTCCATGAGCTACTCCTAATTTTCAAAAAACTCTGCACCCGGGCTTCCCTGGTGGCGCAGTGGTCGAGAGTCCGCCTGCCGATGCAGGGGACGCGGGTTCGTGCCGCGGTCCGGGAGGCAAAAGAAAGGGGGCAGGGATAAACAAGCACGGCTTGGGAGCAGTAGAATTTTTCCCAGCAGACAGAAGTGTCCTGATGGAGCCAAATGTATTTGCATTTGACAGTGATATGAAGAAAGGAGCACAGGCAAACCTGGGAGAGGCCAAGGGGCAAAGGAGGTGCTGCCACTCCTTGAGTGATGCTATCAGCCGGCGACGTACATTTGCAACATGGCTTGTGTTATTTTCTTTTGCCACTATCTCCTCCATCAGAGCATGAGGCCCTTGACAGCAAGAGTTCTGCAGATTCTCCATAACTCCTACCCGTGGCCTAGCAGAATAGCTGGCACCTGTCAAGTGTTCAAAAACTTTTTTGAACAAAAGCAGGTCCCCTAAAGGGAATTACGTAAGGAAGAATATTTTTCATTTATTAGGCATAAATTCACACATTTGCATGATCTGAAAACATTTCCCTCTCTCATGGGTAATTTGAAAGAATATGTCATGCCCTTAAAAGCATTACCAATTTTGATTTACAAGTGTTTTTCAAGAGGCAATCAAAGACATTTGTGTTAATTGTATCACTTTTTCAGTTTGCAATCAAAGCTGCCAATTTGTTCTCTTCAATTTTCCAACTCAGTTGAAAGCGGGATTGAGGTGGGTAACAGGCACCAAACTGGCACCATTTTGGCTACCAAGTTGTAGCCACGAACTCTGGAAATAGACCTGCAAGCTTAAATGAAACTCGATAAAGGAGAGCCAAGCGTCACTGACCTTCTGGGCATCGTCCTAGGTGCTAAAGTACATGTTGCGGCTGCAGAAGGATTGGGCTCTCCTTCCAAGTGGAGTGCTTGGTCCTGGGTACTGTGCATACAGCCACACATACTCTGGTCTCCTGTTGTGTGTTGGCCCTTCCTAAGCGACACTTACTTGCCCACTGTTACTATTGTCATTCGTTCCACGGCAACTATACAGTGGCCCTTGTAGAAGAGGCCTTCCCTAGTGTTATGTGCAGGCAGACATTAAACCAGTCATGCCACAGTCGACAAATATTTGAGTGTCTGCTGTGGGCCAGACACCGTACAAGGTACTGGGGACACAACAGTGAGAAAACTCAGACATGGACTTTGATCCCAGGGAGCTTAGTGGTCAAGACTGATATTAATCACGTAATCGCAAAAGAAGTCACCCCTGTGACAATACCGTGCAAGGGGGATGCTATGAGGTTGGTGTCAGTCAGGGAGGTGAGGAAGACATCCCTGGGGAGGTGATGTTTGATGTTGAGTAGGAAGGAATGAAGTAGGTGAAAGGGCAGGGGATCCACATTGTAGGCAGATGGAACAGCCTGTGGTAAACCCAGCGGCAGGAGGGAGTGTGGTGATTGGGAGGGACTGAAAGAAGGCCAGGGTAGCTGGACCAGAGAGGCTGAGGGGGAGGGAGGCTCCAGGTGAGGATGAAGAGGAGGCACGGTGACTAGACGATGCACGACCTGGGAGGCCACGGTAGGGAATTTTCACTTTATGTCAAGAGAATAGGAAACCATTTGTGAGTTTTAGGCAAGGAGGCTGATAAACTTAGATTTACAGTCTGGAGACGTCACTCTGGCTTCAGTGTGAATAACGGTTTAGAGAAACAAACAGAGTAAATTCAGCAAGACCAGTAGGACGGCTATCTCACTTGTGTTTGCTTAGAGCTTTCTCTGTAAAAGCTGGGGGATGTCAGCTCAGTCAAATGAGTCTGGGTCAGGGAAGACATGACCAGCGATTACTTAGATCGCTGGTGAGTTGATGGGTGAGAGGAGATAGATCTCAAGAGAAGCCAGGAATAGTCATTGTTCCGGCTTCCGCTTGGCTCCAGGGACACTGCTGTCATTACTGCATCACTGGTCACTGCTCCAGCATATGGCCACTCCACTTGCTCATTAATGGCCTGCTTCTCTTTATGGTTTTCTTTTCTGTCCTCCCTCTACCTCCTGATTAATTTCCTTAGCATTTTTCATTTAAATATGGGAGGGAGAGAGAGTTTGATTGATCTCAGTAATTACTGTTGCCCATACTGGTCAGAGTTTTAATGCCAGCCCGCCCCATCTGTTGTCAGTTAACCTATGCAATTAGCTCCCTCGGAGCAGGTGATGACCCTAAGCCAGCTTCACTGCCCACGTTAAAACCAACAGCTGGTTTCCTCAGCGGAGAGCTCTGAGTAGGTTTCTGAGAATCTGGATTTGTAAGAAACACGCCAGATGATTCTGACATGGACTGTATTGCAGAACTGTTGGCAGTGGTTAAAAAGAGGCTCTGGAGTAGTTTGAATTCTGACTCTGCCATTTACTAGCTGTGTTACCTGGGATAAGATCTTTAAAATGGCTGAGTCTACTTTCTCATTTATAAAATAATACTTTTCTCATGGAAATACCTTTCTCATGGAAAGCACAGTGTCTGATACACAGGGAGCAATCAATAATAGACACAGAGAAAATGACAGTACAGATGACGTGTCATCAGGATCCTGGCAGGACACAGACTCTAACTCGGATGGCATCAGAGACACCCAAGAAGGGATCACTCAGCGGTCACAGTTAGGAAAATAAACATGGATGTCGAGGCACCCAGAGACTAGAAGCGATGGGAGACTTACCACTCATGTCCTGAAGGAGCAAGGAGAGGAAATCGGATGATGGAGCCCAGAGAGAGCAGGATTCTTGGAGCTGGGGCCACTTGACAAAGCCGTGGATGAAGGGAGACAGCCGCGGCTACAAATCAGGCAAATCAGGGAGGGAGTGGGGAAGAGATACCCCAGGCTCTGATCTCCAGCCTGTGCCTCCCGTTGACCAAACCAATCAGGGAACCAGCAGGAAGGAGGCCTGGGAGGTGGAGTCTGAGGAATCAACCTCCTGGGGCAGAGACTGGAATAGGAGGGTGGGGTAAACAAATGGGCAAGAAGCATGATGATGATGGTGATGATGATGGTGATGACGATGGTGCTGATGGAAGCAAAATACTGGGAATCAGGTTTATTCATAATCTTCTCCTCAAGACTGAATCAAACTTTGGATCAAAAAGGCGTAGCAGGGCTTCCCTGGTGGTACAGTGGTTAAGAATCTGCCTGCCAAGGCAGGGGACACGGGTTCGAGCCCTGGTCCGGGAAGATCCCACATGCCGCGGAGCAACTAAGCCGGTGCGCCACAACTACTGAGCCGGTGCGCCACAACTACTGAGCCCGTGCGCCACAACTACTAAGCCCGTGAGCCACAACTACTGAACCTGCGTGCCACAACTACTAAAGCCTGCACGCCTAGAGTCCATGCTCCGCAACAAGAGAAGCCACCGCAGTGAGAAGCCCGTGCACCATCATGAAGAGTAGCCCCTGCTCGCCGCAACTGGAGAAAGCCCGCGTGCAGCAACAAAGACCCAACGCAGCCAAAAAAAAAAAAAAAAAAAGGCATAGCAGTATCTACAGACAGTTCAGGTGATAATATATCATTTTCCCCTATACCTGAATTTCACAATATCATGGAACATTTAGACTATTTACACACAGTGTCAAAGCATCTGGAAAAAACATTAAAAAAATGTTTGGGGCTTCCCTGGTGGCTCAGTGGTTGAGAGTCTGCCTCCCGATGCAGGGGACGCGGGTTCGTGCCCCGGTCCGGGAGGATCCCACATGCTGCAGGGCGGCCTGGGATATATGTGGCAAAAAGAAACCCCAGGGAATCCAGTGCCTTGTGGTTTGAATCCTGGAGTCCCTTATGTCAGTCTTCTCTCCTCCACCTTATACACTTGTGTTTGTTTTACGTATAATGTCCAGGGTTTTTAGTTGTACTTAGTAGGAGGATTAGGGAAAATACGTCTACTCCATCTTCCCAGAAATGGAAGTTCCTGTGTAACTTCAGAAACATTAGCTTATTTAAATACTTGCAGTGTAATTACGAACAAGCTCAGGGAGCTTAAGTAACTTGCCCAAGCGTCTGTTTTTGGACCTGATACCTACAGCTTATATACCCTCACTCACGATGCTTCTTTGCCAATAATGATACCTGCCTTTATGGAACTCCATGCATCCCGGTCAGTGTCCCAGTTGCCTCCACATACTCTGTAGCTGGGTCCTTATTTATTTAGCCTCTCTAATAACTTTGGTATCTACATTTTGTTAACCTATTTCTGTATGTCTGTGCTGTTGTGATGCCCTAATGGTCGGCATTGGGATGATCCTGTCTTTATAATGGGACCCTGCTATTAAACCCCTATGGTGACGGCCAGCACTCTCCCACAGAAAGGTAGAGATTCAGGCTTTCTGAAAATACAGTTAGTACGTAGCAGAATTTGACCCTCACACGTTACATATTTTATGCGATACTTTTTTTCGTCTGTTTTTGTTTTTGTTTTTTTTTCTTTTGCGGTACGCGGGCCTCTCACCGCCGTGGCCTCTCCCGTTGCGGAGCACAGGCTCCGGACGCGCGGGCTCAGCGGCCATGGCTCGCGGGCCCAGCCGCTCCGCGGCATGTGGGATCCTCCCGGACCGGGGCACGAACCCGTGTCCCCTGCATCGGCAGGCGGACTCTCAACCACTGCGCCACCAGGGAAGCCCCGTCCGTCTGTTTTTAATCAAGCAATTATTTTGGATTTGTTATCCACAAGCCAGCAGGCACTGGGGCCCCAAGCTCGTCGACAGCGCAAGGGGCTCCCTTGTCAGACTCTTCTCTTTGGTGGGTCATTGTTGGCAAAACCACATGAAGAACACAAAACGAAAACAAAAACGTGGCTTTGCCATGGGCCAGGCTGGTGAAGTTGCCAGCAGATGGCTTAAAGCATTTAACTACCTGCCCTGATGTAGTGAAAATTGGATTTCTGAAGAAGAATGCTCCATGTTTTATTGGTCTGGGCTTTAATTATCTTACAATGTAATGGGAGAAAAAGTGAGAGCCTTTCATTTTCCACTGGTGACTGTCATTCTGCAGACCTTTCTGACGCTTGCTTGAGAGGGAGAAACTGCTTCTATTGGTCACTGGAGCAGCCTGTGGCCCCTGCGTGAATAAAACATGCCAAGTAATTTCTGTGATGCGGCCAACACACATGTATGTAGAGTCAATGCTTATTATCCCGTCAATTAACAGAGATAATTAAAAAGATTTTAAGCTTTGTGATTGTCGGGAATCCCCCACTCAGGAAGAGGGTCTCTAATTTCTTTGGTTAATCCTTGGGTTCTTAATTTAGGATTTTAATGCCCACAGGGCGAAGGAATCAGACGAAAATGCTCAGCTCCAGAAAATATGCTTAAAGAGGTTTGACTGAAGACTGAAGACTGAAGGAATTGTTCATCCTGACGATGAAATGCTTGCTTGTGTTTTCCTGAGATGGTAGCTTAGGCGGGGAAAAGGCTTGCTTACAAAGTCATCTGAGAGTGTTTAATGATATACATTCAAACTTTTAATTTATTTTTTGAATAAATATCACATTTTCAGGCTTTAAACCAAACATATAAAAGGCACAGAGTAAAAATTTCCTTGCTATTACTGTGCCTCACTTCCCCAGTTTTTTTCTTTCCCCTTATAACCACCTTCATCTGAATTAGTTAGAAAGCGTGAATTTTTTTTTTTTTCCCTCAAAAAATCCCGTGCATGGTTCTCATACAGAATCGCAATTGTCTTACGTCCTTTAGGGGACCAGACACAGAATAAATGAGGACATAAATCCCGAACTATAAAACCAAGGATCCAGGGGAGACATGATAGAGTGATGCTTTCCCCTCTCTCTCCCTTGTGGACCTTTCAGAGGCTGTGTGCCTGCTGCCTGATTTCTAATAAGCCACTTTCTGTGTTTCCAAGAGCGGGAGAAGTCATAGCACTGCTCAGCTCAATAACTGGGAGTGTTTTGAGACTTTGCTATTG